TGGAGTGTGAAGGGTTTTCATGAATTCTGCTCGAAGGAGCACTACATTAAAAATAAACACGGTAAAATGGTGACAGGGAAGGTATGATAAGAGGATATAGGAAATGTGAATAGCCCAGGGCAAAGGGGGAGATACCAAAACTGTTTAGCACACGTTTGGTCAGAGGATGGGCTTCACTTGTCTCTTTGTCGAGTTGTAATATGGTGCTACGAATGGCGAGAATCTCTGACGATGCCGACGGAACGTCTAGGAATGTACCACGTCCACGGTCCTACTCTGGAAATGATGATGCATACAATGGACTCCGGACTAGGTGCCTTCCTCAAAGTCTTCCTACCAAAATGACCAAGTTGCGAAAACAAGGCCGAACAACTTCTATCCTTTTAACTGTTCGGTATATTGTTGCGCTTTTATGAAACTGATGTTTGCTCGCTCTGGCGATGTCAGTAACATGATAGACCAAAGCTCAGCACGAAGTTGTCGGGTCCATTGAACGGTGAGTCAAGAACATTTTTATACAACCCATCCATATCGATTCCAAGGAAATCTTCTTTCTGTTATATGGGTAGTAAAATTCACGAATCTCTTCCAACTAACACTTATTTCAAATTAAAAAGCCTAATCAGATTAATTTACTAATGATTATTCGAACACCAGCTTTTTATTCGTATTTTCAAACTTTTGTTAATCAAGGCTTATATTAGCCTAAAAGTGACTATGTCATCAGCATTTTAGACTGGCCAAGAAAAACTGACAACCACAGTTGATACAAATCGACCATTTTACTCTTACACTAAATAAGAATGATCAAGTATTCTCACTAATAGTCAAATTTATTAGTTACTAAGATCAAATAATTAAAACAAGTTAAAGGAATTGTGTTATTCAAAAATATTGTTTACAATATACAAATACAAGACATCATATCTATCAATTATTAGGTCGTTTAAAATAATAGTATGACGAAAATTAATGAAGCAGGATACTTTTGATACCGTCTTCTGTGTTTGCACTTACGAATTTCTGAAAATGGCAGAAAAGAAGTTGCTCGTCAAAAGATATATGAGGAAATAATTTGCTGATAATAATGTATAGGTTCGGTGAATTAGGAAATTGATTTTTTTAAAAATAGTTCTTATACTTTTAAAGTTCGATAATAGTATATTTCTTTAAGCAAATATAGTACACTATGTTAATAAATCTCATAATTATACAATGAAGAAATTTCAGCTAGTCATTGTTTACTGGGATTTAGTTAAATTCACAGTGTAGACATGGATTTAATTCCTTCTAGGATGTTACACTTATTATAACGATAGCTTGATTACTTACTAACAAAACTTTTCTAATGAATAAAGGTAGTATTTAAGCTATATTTATTTAATTTGTTAAGGTACTTAAGTGTCACCTTTAAGTATATAAAAGCTCTGATCGACTTACCAAAGGTTAGTAAAGAATGCGGATTATATGGAGCGTGTATAAAGCCAGAACTATTGGGTAGAAGCCAATCTTGGATCCGATTGATGTAATTTCGACTGAAAAAAATCAAGTTGACTAGGATGAATAATATTCTAACATCAGTAAATAAAGTGTCAAAGGAATATTTCTATCATAGTTCGTCAATTATAAACATCATAATCGACTCCACAATAAGGATATTTTTCTACAGGTAAGACACTAATCATTTTCTCAAATAAAGATAACGAGACTAAATTAACTATGAAAGGATAAATTCACGGCAAGTATGCATGTCCTTTTTCAATTAATACCAGCTAAAAATGAGTGTTTATTAAAAACTAAATATGCTAAAATTCAAGATTGCCACACTCTTTAGCAAAAGCTTTGATACCGGAAAAAATATACTGAGTGCAATACAGTAAACCAATGATTCGATTTTT